GCATTGTGTTCATTGTCTCCCAAACTTCTCTCCACACCCCTAATCCACCTCCATGCAGTAGGGAAGCACTTTGCTGATTTTGCCCTGCCCCTACACAAAAAAGCAAATAAACAAATTTTTGTTCACCTGTCACTTTTGGTCTTCCAAACTTTTTCCTATGGCTGTGAGTGAGTAGATGCAAGGAGAGGAAAGTCACCTATATGTAATTTTTTTAACCAAAATTAAAACAATACTTTAAGCAAGATTCTGCCATTTGTGTGTTTACCTTTATGTAAAAACTGCCACTTGACACGTATTTATCACCTACTATGAAATTTATCATTATTGTGTGTGAAGTGAGTCTACACTGCTTGTGAGAAATGCACATTCTTGCCTCCAAGGACTTACTTTCTATCTTGGAAACATAAATACACAGTCAAGGAAATTCATCTTCTCACCTACTCTCTGCCCACCCCCAATACGTTTTCCACAGGGAAGAAAGAGGGAATTCTACAACCCAAGAGTCATTTTCAGCTTCTAACCCTCCATTGGTTCCCAGTTGCCCAAGTGGAAATAGCAAAATCCTTTAAGATGAACTCAAGCAGTTACATGGTCCATCTTATTTGGCTCAGGGGGCAGGGACCAGGTTCTAATACCTAGAATGCACCACAAGCCAAAAAGTCAACACATGCACAGAGGCGCAAACAAATTTGTTTGTTTATTTTATCAAAGGAAGATTTTTTTTAAGGTAACATCATGACCCTCATAGATATAAAATAAACATGTGTTAAAGATCTTTTTTTAAAGATTTATTTTTATTTATTTTGAGAGAGTGAGAATGAGAGAGAGAGAGAGAGAGCACATGAGAGGAGGGAGGGTCAGAGGGAGAAGCAGACTCCCTGCTGAGCGGGGAGCCCGACGTGGGACTCGATCCCGGGACTCCAGGATCATGACCTGAGCCGAAGGCAGTCGCACAACCAACTGAGCCACCCAGGCGCCCAAAGATTTTTTTATTGTGGCAAAAATACACATATCATCAGATCTATCCTCCTAACAAAATGTTAAGTATACACTAGTGTTAACTATAAGTACTGTGTTATACAGAGGATCTCTAGAAATTTTTCACCTTGCAGGACTGAAACTTTATACCCATTGAACAGCAACTCCCCATTTTATTTAACTCATTATGAATGAGGGAACCAGGGCAGAAATTAAAGATGCCCAAATTTATATGGCGTAAGGGAATATTGAAATGAATTTGTGAATGCATGTAAAAGTGGCTTGGTGGGGGGATTCAAGTCCCCCCACCAGCAGACAGAATGTATATGTATGTCTATGGACAAGAATTATTTGCATTGCTATTAGTTATCTATAAATTATAGCACTTAAAATAGTTCAAAGGTAATAAAATGCTGGAGTCAGATAACCCCAGAAGGGTATGCTCTAAAGAATACATACTTTTTCATTGGAGACAGCCAGAAATCTTATTTTGCTTATTCTAAATATCCTTACAACCCTTTTTTTAAATAAAGATTTTATTTTTTAAGTAATCTCTACACCCAACATGAGGCTTGAACCCACAACCCCAAGATCAAGAGTCATATGCTCCACCAACCAAACCAGCCGGGCGTCCTAATATCTTTACAATTCTTAAAGTAAATATTCATAGATCACCTAATGTATGCCAAGCATTTTTCTAGCCAGAGTGGATTCAGCAGTAAATGGGAGATACAAGATCCCTTGTGAAGCTTATATTTTAATGGCAGGAGAGACAGACAAAGAATAATTAAGTAGACCATATGTTATGTTGATTTGTGATAAGGAGTTTGAAGAAAAACAAAAGAGAAAGAGACAGAGGAAATATGAAATGGATTATACTCTCCAGTATGTTGTCTACGGATATTGTCATTGAGAAATGGGCACAGACACTACAAGCAATTCGAATACGCACACACAGAGGACACAGACAAACAGACACACGTGTCCTTCAGACATACAGACACGTGTCCTTCAAACATACAGACACACAGACACACCTCAAAATACACACAGAGAAAGCGCACACACACATACCTCAGACAGGTACACACAGGCCACAAACACAGGACACACACACATATGTACACAGACCAAAGAAATACACACACACCATAGACACACTCATACATAACTTCCACTACAGCCACAAAAGGTGAGGTGTTAGCCATTGGCTCCTCATGCTGGGAGCTTTGCCCTGGGAAGACTGGGGCCCTGGTTCTCAGGCCAAATAGTCCACTAGACCAAGGTCAGGCTTACCTCAGCCCAGCCCCCAGGACCCACCGCTCGACAAATGGGAGACAGGCGCCCAGGATGCAGGAGGACGGGCTCAGCCAGCAGAGAGGCCAGCTGGAGCAGAGGTCCACGGACAGCGTCCTGTCATGGGGAGAGAAGAAGTGTGTCCGGGGTTAAGTAAGAGCAAGGCAGAGATCAGAGCACAGAAGAGCAGCAGATGTTTCCTCCAATCACCAAACCTGTCCCTTCCCTTCCCCTCCGTCCCAGCAGTGGCCGTCCCATCCTACAAACTGGCCACCATGTGGACTGTGTCCAGGGTGGGCCAGACCGCCTGCACAGAGCACTTGACCTGTATGAACACATCCGTCTTCTTGAAAACCCCATGCATTGGTTTATTAGGGTTAACATAACAAACTACACCGACCTGGTGCTTAACTAACAGAAGTCTGTTTTCTCACAGCTCTGGAGGCCAGACGTTGGGGGCAGAACTGGTTCCTTCTGAGGCCTCTCTCCTTGGTTTGTAGGTGGCTGGCTCCCCACCCTGTGCTTATGTGGTCTATTGTTTGTGTGTGTCTGTGTCCTAATCCCTCCTCCTCCTTCCTCTTCTTCTTCTTCTTTTTTTGAAGATTTTATTTATTTATTTGACAGAGAGACACAGCGAGAGAGGGAACACAAGCAGGGGGAGTGGGAGAGGGAGAAGCAGGCTTCCCGCGGAGCAGG